GTTAGATCCTCAGGGCTAGGGAATGTTCCGGAGGTCTGGGTTAGGGTCTGGGTTAGATCCTCAGGGCTAGGGAATGTTCCGTAGGTCCGGGTTAGGGTTAGGGTTAGGGTTAGGGTCTGGGTTAGATCCTCAGGGCTAGGGAATGTTCTGGAGATCCGGGTTAGGGTTAGGGTTGGATCCTCAGGGCTAGGGAATGTTCCGGAGGTCTGGGCGTGGGGAGCTGAGCATGTCTCCGTCTCTCTTCCTCTCAGCCCTGCCAGACGATGACGCATTACCCACAATCCCTCCCTCCTTTCCTCTTCCTGGTCCCCGTCGGCTGTCTGCTCGCTGCAGCCAATCAGCTCCTCCCCCTCCTCCCCTTCCTCCTCTGGTTGGCTAACCCTGTGAGTGCTGGAACATGGTGCTCTGAGCAGAGGCAGTCCCCTGAACCAGCAGACAGCAAATAACAGCCCAGGGGCCAGGGGACTAGGGACTAAAGACTAGGGGCTAGGGACCAGGGACTAGGGACTAGGGGTCAGGGACTAGGGACCAGGGACTAGGGACTAGGGGTCAGGGACTAGGGATCAGGGGCCAGGGACTAGGGGCCGGTGGCCAGGGACCAGGGGCAAGGGGCCATGGACCAGGGACTAGGGACTAGGGACCAGGGACTAGGGGCTAGGGGCCCGGGACCAGGGACTAGGGACTAGGGGCCTGGGACCAGGGGCCCGGGACCAGGAACCAGGGACTAAGGACCAGGGACCAGAGGCCAGGGACTAGGGACCAGGGACTAGGGACTAGGGGCCAGGCGCTAAAGGCCAGAGGCTAGGGGCCAGGGACTAGGGACCAGGGACCAGAGGCCAGGGACCAGGGTCTAGGGACCAGGGACTAGGGGCCCGGGACCAGGGACCAGGGACTAGGGACCAGGGACTAGGGACCAGGGACTAAAGGCCAGGGACCAGGGACTAGGGACCAGGGACCAGGGACCAGGGACTGGGGACTAGGGGCCCGGGACTAGGGTCCAGGGGCTAGGGACCAGGGACTAGGGGCCCGGGACCAGGGACTAGGGACTAGGGACCAGGGACTAGGGGCTAGGGGCTAGGGGCCTGGGACCAGGGACCAGAGGCCAGGGGCCAGGGTCTAGGGACCAGGGACAAGGGACTAGGGACTAGGGGCCAGGGACCAGGGACCAGGGACCAGAGGCCAGGGACCAGGGTCTAGGGACCAGGGACTAGGGGCCCGGGACTAGGGGCCTGGGACCAGGGACCAGAGGCCAGGGACCAGGATCTAGGGACCAGGGACCAGGGACCAGAGGCCAGGGACCAGGGTCTAGGAACCAGGGACTAGGGACCAGGGACCAAAGGCCAGGGACCAGGGTCTAGGGACCAGGGACTAGGGGCCCGGGACTAGGGGCCCGGGACCAGGGACCAGAGACCAGGGTCTAGGGACTAGGGACTAGGGACCAGGGACTAAAGGCCAGGGACCAGGGTCTAGGGACCAGGGACCAGGGACTAGGGACTAGGGGCCCGGGACTAGGGGCCAGGGGCCAGGGACTAGGGACTAGGGACCAGGGGCCCGGGACCAGGGACTAGGGGCCTGGGACCAGTGACTAAGGACTAGGGACCAGGGACCAGAGGCCAGGGACCAGGGGCCAGGGACCAGAGGCCAGGGGCCAGGGACTAGGGACTAGGGACTAGGGACTAGGGGCCTGGGACCAGAGGCCAGGGACCAGGGGCCAGGGACTAGGGACCAGGGATCCAGGACTAGGGGCCCGGGACCAAGGACCAGGGACTAGGGGCCCGGGACTAGGGGCCCGGGACCAGGGTCTAGGGACCAGGGTCTAGGGGCCCGGGACTAGTGGCCCGGGACCAGGGGCCAGGGACCAGGGACTAGGGACCAGGGACCAGGGACCAGGGACTAGGGACTAGGGACTAGGGACTAGGGGCCTGGAACCAGGGGCCAGGGACTAGGAGCCCGGGACCAGGGACCAGGGATTAGGGGCCCGGGACTAGGGACTAGGGGCCAGGGGCCAGGGACTAGGGACCAGGGACCCAGGACTAGGGGCCCGGGACTAGGGGCCCGGGACCAGGGACCAGGGATTAGGGACTAGGGGCCAGGGGCCCGGGACTAGGGGCCCGGGACCAGGGACTAGGGACTAGGGACCAGGGACTAGGGGCCCGGGACCAGGGTCTAGGGGCCCGGGACTAGTGGCCCGGGACTAGGGGCCAGGGACCAAAGGCCAGGGACCAGGGTCTAGGGACCAGGGACCAGAGGCCAGGGACCAGGGTCTAGGGACCAGG